ACGACGACGACGACGACGACGACGACGACGACGACGACGACGACGACGACGACGACGACAACGACAACAACAACAACAACAACTTACTGATCCACTTTTATGTCAATTTTAATTCAATTTTAAGGAATAGAGCAAAAATGTTTTCAATTTTTTGTGTCCCTTTTCTGGTACAAACAAAAATTCCCCCCCGCCTTTCCTCCGATTTTTTTTGTTCCATTTTTTGTCAATTTTTAACAAAAAACAGTAAAAAAAATTCCTCTTGCACCGGATTGTAAATTACAAATTAAAGTTAAGCTTTGTTGTTGTTGTATTTTTGCGCTGCGTTTCCTTGTAGCTGCGTTGATTGAAGCAACATCAAAAATATACTCCCAGCCCCAGACAATTTATTCAACGTCTAGGTACTGGGAACATACATCTTCGAATGCTGCTCCTTTTCTCTGTACAGCTTCCTGCGAAAGTCCTCCTGAAAAAATAATTAAAAAATNATTTATTACAACGCTAATTATTTTTTATAATTAACCATAAAAGAAGTTGATAAAGGTGATAAACATTGTATTTTATGGTATTCTATAAACGCAGTTATGTCAATAATCCTTAATTAATCGAACTTTTGTAGATGAAGTTAGAGATTTTGATAATTTTTCTCTCGGAAATGGTTGAGTTTAGAACCCATGTCATATAAGGTTTTTTTGTTTATTTTAATGTATTCTATCGTCTGTTAAAATTAAGGCAGTCATACTTCTAACACCCTTTAGAGGTCATTGTCTAAATGGGTACTTATTTTATTGTGTAAAAACACTCTGTATGTTGAATCCTTTTTATTTAATTTTACAGAACTCGTTCGTGTTTTTGAAACGTGTTACCACGGATTCAGTGAAATATACAGATACAAAACAAGTCGCGAAATGACGGAAAGCCCGTGTGTCGCACACGCCCTGTACCTTTGAAGCATGAACAGTCTAGTCATTAGGCAGCCCTTTTCTTATATCAGTTATTACAATGTACTAAATTGTGTCATATTGGTAAAAAGATATTATCATCATGTTTCTTAATAAATTTTGTTCTGACTTTACCTCTGTTTTATTTAAAGTGATATTTCATGAATTTTCATTTTGGAAAAGTCTGGAGAGAGCATTTGGAACGGCAGTAGTAGTAGAACAGCAACAGCAACAGCAACAGCAACAACAACAGCAACAACAACAACAACAACAACAACAACAACAACAACAACAGCAACAGCAACAGCAACAACAACAACTACAACAACAATAACAACAACAACAACAACAACAACAACAACAACTTACTGACCCACTTTTATGTCAATTTTTAACAAATAATAAAAATTAATATTTCAATTAAATTTTAAGGAATAGAGCAAAAATATTTTCAATTTTTTTTGCTCCCTTTTTTGTTTCAAACAAAAAGTCCCCTCCGCCTTTCCTTCGATTTTTTTTTGTTCCATTTTTTGTCAATTTTTAACAAAAAACAAAAAAAAAATTCTTTTGCTCCGGATTATAAATTACAAATTAAAGTTAAGCTTTGTTGTTGTTGTTGTTGTATTTTTGCGCTGCGATTCCTTGTAGCTGCGTTGATTGAAGCAACATCAAAAATATACTCCCAGCCCCAGACAATTTATTCAACGTCTAGGTACTGGGAACATACATCTTCGAATGCTGCTCCTTTTCTCTGTACAGCTTCCTGCGAAAGTCCTCCTGAAAAAATAATTAAAAAATNTTTTCTGAAAGTGAGCTCTATCACTGATCAATTCCATCCAATTAGATTTTCTTGCCTTTTCAAACCAGCCATCAGGGTCCATAAGTATATAAGTTTTATTATTATCCAAGTTAAACACAACCCGCTTTTGACCACTCATTGTATCAGAAGAAATGCAAAAAAATCATCAACAACCCTACTAATAATAATAGATCCATACATAAATAATACTTCTAGTCTTCACGAACGGTCATCAACCTCTACCGCGCAGACGACAGCCGATGTGACGTAGCCGGCTGAAAGCTATGCCGATCCTGCTCCAGTCGCCATCTTGAATTGTGGAGCAGAATCGGCACAGCTATTCTACTGATATTCCAATAAACTAAATATTTTAATATGTTAATACTTGAACTTCATTCAGGTTTTCTTTACGAGGGTTTACTAGGTTCTCCTAGTCAAGAAAAAAATCAGTTTGTTTTAACATAATTTGATTTGTTTTGAGATTGTAGGTATTAAATAATATATTACAATGTTGTAGTTTTAAAGTATTTATTAAATGTTAACAGAATATATTATTGAGTTTTTTCTATCAAGTCCATACCGCTATCGTTATCTTGTAAACAAATGTTATGCAATACACAAGCAGCCATTACACATTTACTTATCATTCTATGCTTTAAATTATCGAATTTAGTCAATCTCATAAAACGACCTTTGAGTAAACCAGAAGCATGTTCAACTACAATACGAGTTGCAGAGTGCTTATAGTTAAAATCCCTTTCATCTTCTTATAAAAAACAATTATCTCTGCAAGGAGGTATGAGCCAATTTAATATAGGATAAGCAGAATCTCCTAAGAGCTTAAATTTACCATAATATAAAGAATTTGCGTTGCTAACAGCCCTTCTGTAGAATCGAGATTTTCTCATCATCCTCGCATCATGGAGGGAGCCTGGCTCACCAACAGTTACATCGATGAACTTAAGATTCTTGTACAATTCCTTGTATAAGAATGTTGTGAAATCCTTTTCTATTAACAAAGTCGTCTTTTTGCTTAACTGGTCTTCGAATTGGTATATGAGACCCATCAATAGCACCAGTTACATATTTATGACCCTTCTCTTTTTCAAAATTCTGATTACTTTTTTCAGCTATTTCTTCATTTGGCAACTTAATATATGTAGAATTAAGAGTACAGAGAAATTCTGTAACTTTTGAGAAGACAGTATTGTATGAACTACTGCGTGTTACATTAAAACGGTCTGCAATTTGCCTAAACGTTTCATAATTTGATAAATACCAAATTGTTAGTAAAACTGCTTTTTCTGGATAAATCGATGGCCATCCTCCATGATGAACTGCTCTATTTTCAACTATATTCTGCTTGTAAAAACCTTAGGAAATTAACATAAAAATAATGAATGTTACTTAAATTACAAAAGTTAGTACAACGATTAACACGGAAATGTTCCCGGAACTCAACATCTGTATATTGGTATACAATAGTTTCTGTGTAATCGGAAATTGTAGTTTTCTTTCTTCTACTTATTAATTCATCGTCTGTTTGCGTCGCTTTCACTGCTGCTACTCCATTCAGTGGATGATATTTTGTTGATGAGGATATCCTACAAACAATAAATATTTATAACGGTTTTGTGGATATTAATTCATAGTTTAGTAGTAATATAATAAATATTTACTGATACTAAAGATTTCACAAAAATATCCATTTCCGTTGTAGTAACATACAATTTATGAATATCATAAATTATTTAAGGTGTATGTAATATGTATGTAATACAGTAACTCATATGAGTGTGGAATTGTGGATATATCGTGCATGAGCAACTAAATTATTTACTTAGGCTTATGCAGTAACATTTTGTAGGTTAGAAGTTTGAATCTGAATCTGAAAAAATACATGTTCATTTGTATCACAGATTGGATTGCAATATTTGGATCGAATTCGTTAATCATTGAATATTATTGTACAGAAAACAGCATATCACCGGCATAAAAACAAATATCGCTCTTTTCACCATAATAAATCGGTCAAAGCAGTTCAAGTAACAAGATTTAAGAGCGTTATCAACATCGTGATTAGATGCCGCTGTTATTGCTGTTATTGATCTTGTTGGTGCTTATGATTCTGTTGTTGTCGTCGTAGTAGTAGCAGCAGTTGCTGTTGTAGTACTAGTTTGTAGTTAACGCTGCAGTTGCTGTTGTTGTTATTGATTCTATTGACAACAACAGCAACAGCTACAACAACAACAGTACCAATAACACCAACAGCAGCAGCAACAGTGACAACTAAAGCACACTCATTTAATCTATAATCAGATTATTCCTAAGTTGTCAGAGGTTCTTTACTGTAGTAGTCAAAGCATTTATTCTTAATTCGATAGAATCAACATCGTTGCCTAGATTAGATGCCGTTGTTATTGCTGTTCTTGATCTTGCTGGTGCTTATGCTTCTGTTGTTGTTGTCGTCGTCGTTGTGTTGCCGTAGTAGTAGTAGTTATCGTTGTTGTACTAGTTGTAGTTAACGCTGCAGTTGCTGTCGTTGTTATTGATTCTATTGATAACAACAGCAACTGCTGCAACAACAACAGTACCAACAGCAGCAGCAACAGTGACAACTAAAGCACACTCCTTTAATCTATAATCATAGTATTCCTAAGTAGTCAGAGGTTCGTTACTGTAGTGGTCAAAGCATTCCTTCCTAAGTCGATAGACCGCTTCGTATCTTCCTTACGCATACTGTAGACTAAGGAAATCAGTTCAAGTAACAAGATTTAAGAGCGTTATCAACATCGTTGCCTTAGATTAGATGCCGTTGTTATTGCTGTTATTGATCTTGCTGGTGCTTATGCTTCTATTGTTGTTGTCGTCGTTGTGTTGCCGTAGTAGTAGTAGTTGTTGATGTACTAGTTGTAGTTAAGGCTGCAGTTGCTGTCGTTGTTATTGATTCTATTGATAACAACAGCAACTGCTGCAACAACAACAGTAACAACAACACCAACAGCAGCAGCAACAGAGACAACTAAAGTACACTCCTCTCCTTTAATCTATAATGAGAGAGTATTCTTAAGTAGTCAGTGATTCCTAACTGTAGTAGTCAAAGCAATCCTTCCTAACTCGATAGAACGCTTCGTATCCTTATTACGCATACTGTCAACTACGGAAACCAGTTCAAGTAACAAGATTTAAGAGCGTTATCAACATCGTTGCCTTAGATTACATGCCGTTGTTATTGCTGTTATTGATCGGTGCTTATGATTCTGTTGTTGTTGTCGTCGTTGTGTTGCCGTAGTAGTAGTAGTTGTTGTACTAGTTGTAGTTAACGCTGCAGTTACTGTCGTTATTGATTCTATTGATAATAACAGCAACTGCTGCAAAAACAACAACACTAACAACAACACCAACAGAAGCAGCAACAGTGGCAACTAAAGCACACTCCTTTAATCTATAATCAGAGTATTCCTAAGTAGTCAGAGGTTCCTTACTGTAGTAGTCAAAGCATTCCTTCNGTAGTAGTTGTTGTTATTGTTGTTGTTGTTGTTGTAGTACTAGTTTGTAGTTAACGCTGCAGTTGCTGTTGTTGTTATTTATTCTATTGACAACAGCAGCAACATCTACAACAACAACACTAACAACAACACCAACAGCAGCAGCAACAGTGGCAACTAAAGCACACTCCTTTAATCTATAATCAGAGTATTCCTAAGTAGTCAGAGTTTCCTTACTGTAGTAGTCAAAGCATTCCTTCCTAATTTGATAGAACGCTTCGTATCCTTATTACGCATACTGTCGACTAAGGAAACCAGTTCAAGTAACAAGATTTAAGAGCGTTATCAACATCGTTGCCTTAGATTAGATGCGTTTGTTATTNGGCAACAACTGTCGACTAAGGAAACCAGTTCAAGTAACAAGATTTAAGAGCGTTATCAACATCGTTGCCTTAGATTACATGTCGATAGCTGTCGTTGTTATTGATTCTATTGATAACAACAGCAACTGCTGCAACAACAACAACAGCAGCAGCAACAGTGACAACTATAGCACACACCATTAATATATAATCAGAGTATTCCTAAGTAGTCAGAGGTTCCTTACTGTTGTAGTCAAAGCATTCCTTCCTAACTCGATAGAACGCTTCGTATTCTCCTTACGCATACTGTCGACTAAGGAAACCAGTTCAAGTAACAAGATTTAAGAGCGTTATCAACATCGTTGCCTAGATAAGATGCCGTTGTTATTGCTGTTATTGATCTTGCTAGTGCTTATGCTTCTGTTGTTGTTGTCGTCGTTGTGTTGCCGTAGTAGTAGTAGTAGTTGTTGATGTACTAATTGTAGTTAACGCTGCAGTTGCTGTCGGTGTTATTGATTCTATTGATAACAACAGCAACTGCTGCAACAACAACAGCAACATCACCAACAGCAGCAGCAACAGAGACAACTAAAGTACACTCCACTCCTTTAATCTATAAGGAGAGAGAATTCTTAAGTAGTCAGTGGTTCCTAACTGTAGTAGTCAAAGCAATCTTTCCTAACTCGATAGAACGCTTCGTATCCTTATTACGGCTACTGTTGACTAAGGAAACCAGTTCAAGCAACAAGATTTAAGAGCGTTATCAACATCGTTGCCATAGATTACATGTCGTTGTTATTGNCAAAAAGAAGAGCAAAAAGCAATGGCTCGCTGACAGAAATAGTACAACATATATACCAGGTTACTCAAAAGTATTTACATATATCATATATAACATATATTATAACTCTTTTCAGATTAACTAGTATTAAGTATTTCTATTATTAGCTATCATAAATATTTAATCATGTATTAAAGTATTCAGCCAATGATAACTACAACAAAAATGTAATCCATTGTTTTTTCTGTGTTTCAACATAATTAAGTGAAATATTTATACAGGGCGATTCACAACTTATCCAAAAAAATTTGGGAATAGATGCGGCATGAGAAATGGCGTCAATATTGTAAAAAAAAATTTGTAAAATCCTTATAGTTTCCTAGAAAAAATTATTGAAGTTGTAGTGCTTTCAACCATTACATAGCTGGACAACTGTAGTCTCTAGCGTCATTCGTAATACGCGTGGAGAGCCACGTGGCCTCAGCGAATACTGAAATCCAATGTTTACAATAGGTAGTTTTTTAGTAGTTAGTGTCAATAATGGCTTGCGTGTATAACAACTCGGAGTTGATGGATATCGTTTTAGTTTATGGTGAAGTAAAAAAACATTTGTATTATGGTGAAGCATTTGTGTTATGGTGAAACAAGACAGCATTTGTGTTAGTTCGTAGAAACTAGGTAAGACGGACCCAAATGTATTTACACGTCGGTGTAAACAAAATTTTGAACAGTTGTTGTAACATCAGGTATGTCAAATTATTTTATTATTTAAAACCACAAATGAATTTTATTAATTAATAATAACAATAGCGACAAAATCAGTTGAGTTTGTAAAATAGGTATAAAATAGGTGCTATAAAATTCTATTTATTCTTTTCCTTGCGATAATTCTTTCAAGTTTTTGCCCGTTTTTATCACTGCCGCCATGACGGTCGCATTGTGCCAGGTCAGGTTTTACAGTGGACCAGTTTCCAGTGCCGTGCAGAAGTGTATTTTTAAATTATTTTGGAACTGCCCTTTTTGATTTTTTCTTTACAAAATTGTATTTGCAATAGTCCCCTGTACATCCAGAATTTTTTTTGGATAAGTTCTGAATCACCCTGTATACAAACCCTTAAGAATATGATAAAACATTATGTAAGCTTGTGAGATTGTGCGTTGTTCATTTAGAGCCTCAAAAATTTGTTCTCAGAAAAAAACAATGGAATGTCCTGTATACGTCTGGATGCAAATTATCTTTTTTTATATTTTGAAGTTTTTCCGACTTCAGCAATGCAAATATCATATTTGCTTCAGTAGGTTTTTCATAGATAAGATTTTTCTTATCATGTCATTATTATTTAATTTAACTGCAAATTGATAATATTTAGTTTCAAATATTTTTAAAAAGTTGTGCTATATACAGTAGGGTGGCCCAAAAAAAACGAATATTTTTTTT